GAGAGAGAGAGAGAGAGAGAGCGAGAGAGAGAGAAGAGAGAAGAGAAGAGAGAGAGAAGAGAGAGGAGAGAGAGAGAGAGAACGCGTACCGCATAGGGTAACATCGAATATCCAATCTCAATATTCCACATAAGGAGGCAACGCGACTGTCTTTCACATGGTCCTATACTAATGTAATATTACCGTCCAGGGGTAGCGGATATCTCGGCGCGTTTTTTTCTCAACAATACTATTCGGTCGATCTTATAGGGCTTAAACGTACACCTATGACACAACAAACCACCAGCCATCAACCGCCTGCCACCAGACACGACACGCACACGAACACGCTTCACGCACACGCACACGCACACTCACGCGCAAAACGAGTATATATATATAATATATATAATATATATATATATATATATATATAACTATAAGGTGTAGCAGGCGATGAGACAAGAAAGATATGATAACAAGACGCTGCAAGCAAGCGTTTACATATTTATGAGGTTTCATTATTATATATCTATACAGACGACGTCCCCGTCAACATAGTGTTGCACTGTGAAAGAGTTGAAGATCTCCGTGTAGTTCTGTAGCGTCGAAAGCGTAGAAGGTAGCAGCGTTGTTTCGTTAGCAAATGATAGAGAAGTTTGGTAGATAGCAGAGGTAGAGCCGTAGTCGCAGAAATTAGTTATTGACTTTTTACTTGAAACATATACAATATAATACAAATACCACGGCCTAGGCAACCATGCCTATGGGCTCCGGCGCCTCGTCTCGATCTCTTTCCGACTCGCTACATAGTCTCTCTCTGAATCTTATATTTTTCTGCTTGTCAATTGCTGTTTATATATAGCAGCTCGAAACCGGATCTAGCAGAACTACTGGCAATGGTAAATCCTTGGGGTAGAGAAGGGATGGAAAAGTTCCGGTTCTGAAACACGGGCTGGAGGGGGGCGGCGCTGTCTAGTGCAACATGTGCGCACAGTTTCGTACTCACAGAAGAGTTTCAAGACTGCATTCGGTACTCAACCTCGAATCGGCATGGAAAGGCTTAGAAATGTGGCGCGAGACAAGATACATTCATCTTACCATATTAAAAACGCGTCAGTAATCGGTGAATTTAAACAAACAAAAATACAAACATAACAAAACGACGAAAACAAAAATACAGATATCACCGGCTAAGCCATATCGGCAAACACAGATCCATAGCCAACTCTTGTTTTATTTGAATTCGTGCTTTTTGCTATTGTCGTGATACTCGACCAAATGGTATCGGCAATCGTGACTCAACAATGGACGCAAAGCGTGACGAAATCGGACGTACCCAATTTTCCGGCGGGAGCTGTTTAGCTCATTCGTTACGTTAATTTACGCACATATGGTGTGTTCTGTTGCCGTAGTTATGCCGTCTGTTGGTAAGGGACTTAAAAAACACGCTGAATGCGCTTCCATTAAATTACACCATCTGAGGTCATACTTTGTAAGCGGCTAGTGTCTCGCCCTTCCTCATCGGCATAGGCTTACTATATCCTTTCGACCGCTTTAGTCAGTCACGCCGTTACATAAAATTCGAATACCCGCTAGCTATTACTACGAAAATTACGCGCGCAGTGATCGGGCAATTCGCGAGGTATTTTATTTAAAAAATATTTTATAAACGTGTGGCGTATGTATACAGTGATTTTACGAGTACTTACCATATCGTCCCGTGTAGATCTACTCTTCTTCTTCTTCTTCTTCATCATCTGCTCATCTGCTGCTCTTCTGTTATTTTTTCTTCTCCATCTTCTCCGTCTGTTCTCCCTCTTCGCTGGACTCGATTGGAAAGGCCTGGTTTCTTCTCAATCTTTTTCCTTTTTGCTTTCTTCTTCTTCTTTCTTCCGCTGGGGGATTAGCTTGGTAGATGGTAGCGAATGCAGACGATTTGATCTCCACAATTGTTGTTCTGTGAAAGAGTGAAGATCTCACCGTGATAAGTTCTGTAGCGTCGACAGCTAGGAAGGTTAGCAGCCGTCTGTTTCGTTAGCAAATGGTAGAAGAAAGTTCGTAGATAGCGAGGTACGGCCGAGTCGCAGATTATTATTGACTTATCATTACTGAACTAGTACAAATATATACGAATACCACGGCCTAGGCAACCATGCCTATAGGCTCCGGGCCTTCGCCTCGATCTCTCTCCGACTTCACTACCATAGTCTCTCTCATAACTGATTTTTTCTGCTTGTCAATTGCTGATTTATAGTAAGCAGCTCGAAATCGGAATCTAGCAGAACTACTTTTTAAAACCAGGACCTGTTGCTGGAAGCAAGCGATGCCCACTCGTAGGTGCTGCGTCGCGTACCTTCTCCGATACGCGCTCGCGTCACCTGGTCGTCAGCTTTCACGCTATAGGGTTCCCAACGTCAAGAGGGCCCGTCACATTAGTCACCGGCTTGTCACCGTTTCGTTGTCCGAACGCTATAAGCGTCGCCCTAAGACGCGGTCACCGCTTGTCAATTCTATGGTGGCATCAAGGTACAATACAATACTAGCACAGATATATATAGCGGGTATCTATATGTGCATAGAGTGAAAAGAAACAATTTATAATAAGAAAACAATAAATTATTATTATAATCTTTTTTTTTAATTATTTTTATTATTATTAATTGGCCGGCGGTAATTGACAGCAATATGAAAGTTGCTCAACCTCATTCATCACGCGCAGCACTCAGCAGGTTCGCAAACATATTAAATGACATAAATGACATTATCGTTATCATCGCATCCTTACTTTGGGGGGACTAGATATTTGGAAAATGTCACAGGCGCAGTTGCACACATGAGAACGGGAATATAATTGGATTATAACCATACTATCCTCCAGGACAGTGTAATATAGTTTCGAAATGTTTGCGGTCTCGTTACCTTATTACCGGGCTAGGCTAAGCGTTTTTAAAAGTAAACCGCTTGCCACATGTCATGTTATAGTCCCTGACGACTGTGTGTGATAAAAATCATATAGCGCTGGGTGGGCCGTAGCCACAGTAAGCTCAGACGTGCTAGTATCGAGAGCAATAATGGCGAACGCCCAGGACAAGCAGGCTTGAAAAGTTCATGGGACCATGGGGACCGCGACTCTTCGCAGAAGGTGAAAGGTAACCCCTTATCGATACATACGATATCATTAGTATATAGCTCTGAAAATCTGCTATTACGAGATTACGAATAAAGTATAAAATGAAGCATTGCAGCATGAAATATCTGATGTATGGTTAGCTAGGGCTGCATGGTTAGGAGGGTGCAGCATGAAATATTGTGTAGGGTTAGGCATGGCCCAGATCTACAATGTAACACGTATATGTACCGGGTGGGCATATATACCTGCGAATAAGTTAAGTGGCAGTGATTCCAGAAAACTGTATGAGTTAGAATTAGAGATCTATTCATGATATTTCATATTTTATGCCAGTCATGCCAGTGGGTGTGAGGGTCGTGAACGCACCGTCCATGGCACGCCCAACACATCTCCCTGAGTACGATTAGATCTGCCAATGACGAGGAACTGGAGGCGACGTATAAAGGCTAATACTGACACTCATATGATTCTTACATATCACTGACGGTGAGCTCAGCTAAACCCATATATGCCTAGGGGCAAAGCCACGTTGCGTGTTTAGGTTCTGGGGAGGTTTCACCGCTATTGCCATTTAATCGTAAATCTATATTCTGCTTGCCCCACCCCGCTAGTAATAGCCCGTACTGCATATCTTATTGTTGATTCCAATTGACCAGTCTCTGTGATCAGTAGATGAATTATAGCTTAGAGCATGAACTATATCCTATATCATTGCCTTCGATATATAGTTTCTATATTTCCACGATTTTTGAGGATATCACGTGAAAATATTGTATGTGGCGTAAAACTTTTCTAAACAACAATTAGATTATTCCCAAATTCTTGAAAGTTCGTTAGTGATTTTTGGGATCTTATAGTTGGCCTAATGGCTTTCAATTGCGTCACACACAAAATGAGTGATGGGCGTATGGTTACATATGTAACAAGAGTCCAATAATAGTCTTTATTATTGGACTCTTG